ACTAAATAACTGATTTGTTGTAAATGCACCTCCCTTGTTTGCAGTTTAAACTCACTGTATAGTAAAAATTTTCAGAGGATGATGAGATCAATTAATAAAGACAGAAAAATCTCCATGTTTCTATTTAATGAGATTGGAAGCATCATCAATCCTGGTTGATCTGACAAAAATGGCATCAAAGGTTTAGGTGAATTATATATAAATATACATTTTGCTAAAATATTTAAAGGATGTGACAACTGAATAAGAGCTTAAGCTTCTGTGCTAAAAATTTGCTGCCGGAGCAGAAGAAAACATCCTGAACACCTTGCAGCAGCAGCAGCAGCAGCAGCAGCATCCCAGAGGGGATGAATCTTCACCCTGGGAATGTGATGACCTCTTTAACTCCCTGACCTCTGCAGGAAATTTGACCCCTCAGCAAGGCTTTCAACCCACTGAACAATGTAACAGAACACACATGCTAAAATGGGAACGTACAGTATAACGTGAATCTCTTTGACATGTGCATTTACTTTGAACATGATTTTTCTCAGACAGTCTGATCAAGTTTCATTCAAATCAAACCCAAACTAATCAACTGTGAGTAAAATATCATTTATAGAAGCTCTGTTGGCAAAAGTGTCTCCTTTAGCATGACATGTGCAAAACGTATATGGTTATTTACCGCTGGAAGATGCATTAGGCATTGTTTTTTTAYTATCCAACAATCCAWCCATCCRTCATTTTTACCTGMTTCTTCCTTTCAGGGTCATGGGGGTCACTGGTGCCCCTATCCAGCCTTTACTGTGTGAGGGGCGGGGTCCACCCTGAGCAGGTTCCACGTCCATCACAGGGACACACAGAGACAAACAAGCATTCACACTCCCACTCGTGCCTAGGGACAATTTAGAGTTCCCAGTTTGCCTAACAGTCATATTTTTGGTCTTTTCGAGGAAACTGGAGTACTTGGAGAAAACCCACCGCTGCAGGGTAAGAACATGCAAACTCTACCCAGAAAGGTCCCCGACTGGGATTCGAACCGGCAACCTTCTTGCTGAGCGGCAACAGCTTTACCAACAGAGAAACCGTGCCGACATTGTTTTTGTTCTATCGTGCAATTTTTTTTACTCGATTTTAAAAAATTAAACATATTTTTTATTTTATTAGACCCAAGCATTCTCAGATTTTACAGCTGCACTTTAATGTCGCTGCCCTCCACCAGCAGAAAGTCTTGAATAACTTTATAAATAATTATTACAGTAGAAGTTTAACTAATTAGATGTACAGGTTACACAGTTTCTTACAAACACGGTTTAACTAAACCAACAGAACAGTAAGACCGTTTTACTTTACAACATAACTTTGTTGTTTTTAATGTCAAGTCCTTTACAGTCATTACATATCTTATGTCTGTTAAGGTTATCATATTTTTGATTTGAAATTTTTTTTTTATTGGGCCAGAGTGACAGTCCTCAAGGGGTGTTTGAGTGGAAGGAATGTTTGCATCATAGTGCCAAATACCCACCCTTACCCTGAGACACTCAGTCTAAATCCCCTGGCTCCTGTGTGCCAGGCCCTGACTGAACGTTACACACACACACAAATGTACAGTATACAAAAGACGCTACACACAGACATGCACACACACGTAGCCATGTCTAAATATTCAGAAACTGGAGCTCGTRTAAGAATCCAAACCTTCTTGATTCGTCCAAACAAACTCTGCACAGMGTCAAACAGTCCGTTCAACCATCCGGGTCTCACCTGGACTCTTCTAGGAGGAGCAGGAGCCGGCAGTGTGGAGTTTCGGTGGCTGCTATGTGACCCAGTGTCCCAAACACTCGCTCTGCAGCAATCACRTCATTCATGGTCACCTAATGTCAACACACACACAGCACAGGCGCTGGATAYGTCACTGACTGGCTTTCTCATTTGTACTTCAACAGCAGAGGCAGGCGGACAGCAGAAAACTTTCAACTAGGTCACTTTATAATTTCTATTTGTAGAAAAAAATAAAACAAGCATGCAATAAAAATATATGGTGCTAAAAATGTGGGGGATTTTTTGTTTTGTTTKCTTTATTTTTTGTGTGTGTGGTTAAACAAGATAAACTTCAGTAGTCAGAAAAGCAGGAGAGAAATATCTCTTATCTAAATGACAGCAAGTATATGAACACCCCCACAGACGCACTCAACCACCCCACCAAACAAATTCTGCATCAACTTTCAACTAAAACAAAACGTGAGAGGTGAGCATTTAGAAATAAAAGTCAAAGCTCTAATCAGTTCTGACCTCCTGGCCATTGATCCTCTGCAGGTTGAAGTGGTGGAGTCTGTAGATGATGAAGGAGCGCCACAGAGCCAGGCTGAGCACTGGGTTGCCTTCTGAGTGGATGGTAAGCTGGTCCAGACGTCTGACCTGAGCCAGGGCTGCCAGCTGTGGGAGACGGCTGATGTTGGTCTCCAAGAAGATCAGATGCTATCAGTGGAAAAAACAAGCCGTGGTTCAGCTACAGTTAAGAGCATAAGCTGATTATGAGAAACAGTGAGATCAGAGTGGCTGAGTGGAAAACATCAGTTATGTGTAATTAAAGCACAAATCAGTAGCTGTCTCTGACTTCTTGCTCTGCTAAATTATATCAGCAGTGTTCATCATTTTTTCACCAAAAGGATTCTAAAGAGTTTATAAGGATTATATAATGAAACAAACAAAATAATCTGAAAGTGTTGTGCTGGCAGCTAAACATTATAACAACATATCTACCATCATCAACTATAAGTTATGTTAGATTACTTTAGCAAATAAACACTCGAATATTGTAATGTAATTCTAAAAGTAACAAATGGTTTTATGTAAGAGTTTACTCATTAAAAGACAGCAGGTGCCACTTTTCAAGTCATGCCGAAATGCATATAAATATGCACTTTTTATTTTTAGATGATTTTTTGTGATCACTATGAATTTAATCCAGCCTCACCGACAGATTTGGGAACTTCACCCTTATTCTTGACAGCGTGGGTACAATGGCGTCAAAGTTGATGTAGCGGAAAGTGATGACGTTGACAGCACCAGCGGTCTGGGCACCCCAACCCCTCTCCAGGGCCTCCAGGGCTCCAAGACCGAATAAGCGCAAGGTGTCTCCGTCAAGCTCTGCGAGGTGACTGTCAGACAAGGACAAGCTCTGAACGCTGCCGCTCCCTGTCTCCACAGGCCTGCAAAGCAAAACACACAAAACACTCGCTGTAGTTTTGTAGTGAGCGCCCACCATTTGTTGCTATGAGGAAAAGCTGGAGACTGCCTGTGTCAAAAGTGATGCTACTTGAAATTTTAGATAGTACATATATCAGTGCAAACTACAGGTAAAATGTTTCTTCCTGATAATAGAGTTGAATCTGAGCAAGTCTGAAGCTGATATAATCCCTCTGTCTGACTCCACGAAGTCAGCCTTTTTAGTCTGCTGAACGTCAGGAGATGTCTCTCTGCAGCAGGACATCAGATGGCTGCTAGCTGCATGCCACTAATAACTGATCATTTTGAGTTTCAGTCCCGCCAACAGACTAATTACATCTGTTCAAATTTCGCACTCACCCAATCAGTTCATAACTGAGAGCTAAAGTGATGAGACTAATCCTTTGATTACAGAGGACTAATCCAAGATTCTTGTTGAGACCAAGCTGTGGAAAGTGTGTGTTTGAATTTGTTGAAGTCACAGACAAACATTTGGTTTGTGCTGTAGAGCAAAAAGGGAACGTTTGCTACAGGTTGAAAAAGAATTACAAATTCCCCCTACGAATCAGAAAAATACTTTATTCTCCATAGCAAAAAGCAACAACAACAAAAAAAACTCCACTAACAACAGATTAACAGGTTGTAGAACTAAGGAAATAATTTATTAAAAAGGAGTTGCCATAAGTGGTGCAAGAAGTAAAGAAATAAACAAATGAAGAAATGAACGATGATAGCTCTTTAGCAGACTGTGCAAATACAGGTCAGTGTTTTTATTTCTTTTGGTAAGTTCTGAAATTATGTGTGTGGAAAATGAAAACTAATTCTTATAACTGAGAAGTTAAAGTTTTTTTACATATATATAATAAAAAAATTCAGAAATCAATGCTTTATTAGTAAAAATCTGCCCAATGTGTTGATTGCTTTGATAAGTAATAACAGTAATAGTTGGTATGTTTTATTAAATTCTGCATTATTTCACAAGAGTATATCACATAAACAGTATATGCTGCAGAGGGTAACTCCAGCCTTGAATTATTACAACTTATGAAACCACTGAGTATTAATAGTTGAAGTGTTGCAGGACATGGTAAAAAATCAGACAAAGTTACACCATAAACTGTAAGATTACTGACAGAAAATGTTTTTATCTGAAGATTCAAGGATGCATACCAAGAAACGAACAACTCTTTGTCTTAGTCCATGTCTTTATCCAGCCCACACGCAGCACACTACTCCCATCCAGTAAAAATATAGTTATAGTAGTAAAATCAGAAGGAGTTGGAGAGTTGGAGGGTTTTATATTGAGAAGCAACAAAAATGAGAGTAACGTCTCTGCAACTGGAAGTGTGTCATCCAAACACTGCACTGTCACACAGTGTTCCTTCATCATCGGTGCTGAATGGCTGCCAGGTCGCCCTGAACTCCATTACACACTGGCTTACAAACAAATGCTGAGAGAAGAGGACAAGGCAGTGAAAATGACACAAAGAATCCCTGGCAACAACAGACTATCAATCTAATTCAGCCAGTTCCATCTCACGGATTATTAAAATGACATCAGTCATCGCTCACAAACTAAATCCCTCCAAAGACAAATCGTGCACATCTACAGCGGCCTAAAATAACGGGAAGCAGTCACCCTGTCTGAGCTTGTGTCATTCCAACACAACATTCCAACATATCATTAAAAGTGAAAACAAGAAGTGAAGTCTTCCTAACCCATCTGTTGATGTAGGATCTTAGAATCCTTCTAAACTCGTTGCTCACCTCTTTCTTACATTTATGTCCCCTAAAAACCTGACGGTGTGTGTGTGTGGGGGGGGGGGGGTTAATTGTTCACAAATGGGGAAAAGTTGGGACCCCATCACAGTTGAACTTCGGCAATGAAAACGATTACATACCCATAAATTAAAAAAACAAAACAACACTATCAAAATCAAAGTGGCGTCAACATGAACTCCATTCTCACTCCAATTTGTCACCAAACTGCAGTAACTAACATCAAGCAGAGATGACATCGTTCTTTTCTTGAAATGAATTTTGTCTTTCATCTAAAGTATTTTAAAAATTGAAGCCATAAAATTTAAATGTAACAAAAGCAAAATGGTTCTACATAAGACAAATGAAGGAAATGATTAAGAAGCCCATATGGGAAGTTTTTCTTTCACAAACTTAGTTTATGTTTCAATCCTTGTGGTGTTTCTGCCCCTTTGCACTGACACCATAACATTGGCTAATATTTAATGCTACTCTGGCCATCACAGAGCGGATCCAGGTGTGTGGATCTTCCAGATGTTGACCTAAATCATGAAAGGAATAAAGAATCTGTTAGCCCAGTCATTTATTCTGGAGTGTCGGGATTATAAATGACACTGTCTCTGTGGACGTAAGAACAAATCGCCCCCAAGGGCTTGATGAGCAATGGCAGGAAGGACAAAAAAGGTTCAAGGAGCTAAAAAGTTATAAATTCACACATGATGTCTATTTATGATCTCAGTGGCAGAGAATAATTAGAAATTCTTTCATCATGTGGCATTACAGGSCACCAGAAAAACCCCACACTGTTGAACAAAACGATGGTTCGTTTAGAAAATTTTACCTTTTGACCTTTTAGTCAAAGATCTTGTTTCTATTTCAAGTTAGTTCCTACTAGGGTTGCAAATTCCCATGGCATTCAGTCATACAATACAATTCAAAGTTGTGCAGCTTGTAAACATTAGACTGAGCTGATTTGTTTTTCTTCACCTCAACCTGTTGAGCAGCATTACTGAAATTACAACAGACCCTAATAAAAGACAGCTTTTGCCACAAAAGGATTTTGCTTTGGGGCCATTTTTTATATTGTGGGGCAGGAAGGAAAGGCAGTCTTTGAACATGTAATAATAGCTGCTGACACAGCCCTTGCTTTCATCTCAGCCCTCCCTCTCATAACTCGTTTAGATCTGGTATCACTCTCTGCAGAGGAGAATATCAGGCGACGACAGTCGCATTAGAGACCTTCTAATATCGTGCTAGAAACCCTGCCGGACAAAGTTGCCTTTAAATATCTTAGACCTGCATGCATTTACTGTGGCAGAGAGCTTAAAGAGTGCACGAGCAGCTGAGCCCTCTGTCCCTGAGGTAAATAAAGGGGTGACTGTGTTGCTCAGGAATATTTTATGATGGGTTTGACAGAGCAGCTGCTGCAAGGATTAAATGTCTTATTAGAGAATCAGCCTGTGTTTTAAATGAGGATCATTTGACCACCTCTAAACTCAAACAGTCTTATTAAAACAACTGGGAATATTCAGAAACATTTATGAGAAAAGTAGTCGAACAATAATGCAAGTGAAAGGTAATATGAGCAGATAGGATTGAAACCACACTTAAATTACATCTAATTAGACTKGATGACATGATTTTTTTTGTCAGGCACAGTAAAACAAAAAAAAGATCTAATGAGCAGAGTGGACAAAGAGAGCTTGTTTGTCTTACTTTGAATCACGTGGGCTGTTTGGATGGCTGTTGGTGCGCAGTCTGCTCTCTGTTGGCCCTGATGGTCGTTCTGGTCCTGAACCTGGGCTCACCCGTCTGKAAACATCAAACAGGTTCCCTCAGCAACAATACAATCCATTGTTTTAACAGCTCGTGCTAATAAAAATATAAGACATTCAATGTAGAAAAAAAGATTTTTTTTATAATTAGAATCAAACCAACAATGCATTTTAGGATATCTTTACTTTGTGGATGTAAACAAGTGTCTAACTCTTTTGTCATGTTATCAGTCTAAATGTTTCTCCTTCTATCTGTTTTGTTAAATTGTCTTAAAGTACCTGTCACATTGAATTTTTATGATTTAAAAAATGCTTTGTTTGGATAGATAACATTAATAATGTATAGCAAATAAAATTTCACTGAGAAAAGTTGTGGAAATATTTGCATGTGCAGTAACAGGAAGTGATGACAAAGGGGAACGCCTGTGTGTAAGCAGAACTTTACCACAATGGCTAAAACACTGACAGTAGTGAAAAATCGTATGTTTCTTTAGATTATTTTGAGTCACTATCACAGAGAAATGACGGGGAGTTAGAATTCAAACAATATTGTCTCGATAAACAAATAGGGGGAGTTCCCTTTTGACAWCACTTCCTGTTTCACTTTGGCTGCGCTAAGTTCAACAAAAAATGGTCAGTTGAGTGGTAAAATGGGTAAAATTTGTCAAATGTTTGCAATGTTTTCTTCCACTTTTTGTTTTGTAGAAAATGCATGTCACAAGCACTTCAAAAGTTGCTGATTCATTCAAAGCCCGCTGCCAAGATAACATTTATATACTGCACAATTCTTCCCATAAAGGTCACATGTTTTTACCGGCAGTTGGAGGAAGGCAATGCTAAGCTGATTATAGTTAATCTCAAAGGAGCATATCTATATCAAAATGTTTGGCTCTTYAGAAAGATCTAAAGGAATTATCTTTCAGAGAGCAACATATCTGTAAAAAAATCTATCTTTGTTGTGATATTTAATGTGAATCAAAACAGGATGTTTCAGTGACCAGAGCTAAGCTTTTAAAATGTCATATCAATTACTGCATGGCTCTTAATTCACTGATGGAAACACACTTTGCTTTGCAAAAAATGTGGTATTTCCAAAAACAGGTGCTTCATAAAAAAAAAGTGTCATGCTGCACGTACTTTGTTTCTTCTGGAAAAGGCTCCTGTGCAAGGCCGTTAGTCTGAGCGGGGCTGTGAGCGGGGCTGCTCTCCGGACTAACATCCTCCTTCGTGCCATTTGTTGGAAGYAGCTCCAAGTTGGCCATGATGTCCTCCCACTGCTGGGCTGCATTGCGGATTGCAAGACGGCGCTTCTCCTTGAACAGAGCAAACAGACACAAAACACAAAGGAGGGTTAGGTTCTCTTTGAACAGGAGTACAATAAAATATATATAACCTCGGTGATGAGTTCASACCTTTGTTTCCAGTTTATTTTCTTACTGTTGAAGAATCTATCAAATCTAGTTATATTTTGATTACTCTAATTGAGCACTTACTTAAATTGGATCTAAAATGTGCATTTGTTGATGAAGCTGACTTGATTTAATTACAACTGAMATTTGCTGCAGAAAAAAATAACTTAACACTTCTCAGCTGTTTACTTAAATCATTTAAGCTCAATTGTCAGAATGAGTCTTTGCCCTTAGGAACTTCTCCATGTCTACAATATTCAGTGTAACATTTTCAGAACAACAGGGATTAGTACGGGTTACAGTAGTTTACTATTGGACAGTGAGATCTGCAGTGAGTCCCTCTCTAAAGACTCACACACACATAATCGCATGATGCCAAGAGGTGTGTGAGGGCAGAAAACAAAACATTTTAGATCATTTGAAGAATTAAAGTGTGTTTTGCATACAGGGCTCTCCTGTCTGTGTACATCTGTCTGACTTAAAWACACATTTCTCAAAAGTTGTGCTGCATCATATAAAAAAATGCAAAAGTAAAAAAAAAAATACAAATATAAACAATCACAATGCATTAGTGTTAAGTACACACCCTTGCCCATAGGATATAGGATGGAAGACATAAAAAAGGGGAAAGCTTTTACAGTACAAACCAGCCAAAAACAAATAAAAAATTAAATAAAAAGTATTTTAGAGCTTGCTTACATTTAGAAAAAAAAATGCAGATAAAGATTAAAAAAGGAACAGCCAAGACGCAAACATTTGTTGCTCTCAAATGAAATACTCCTTMCATTTAGAAGAAACTTTCAACAAAATTATGATTTATTCATTATTAACATTTTAAAAGATAACATTCAAAGCTCCTTCAAGAAGTTTAAAACATTCCCAACAAATACCAAAAACAACACTAATTCATTTTTAACAAACAAGCCCTGGACCTGTTTTGACACATCTYACTATTCTACAATATGGAAATAAATATATTTACTGTAAATCTGTTCCAGTAAGATAAAAAAAAACAAGAGAATTGCAGATTAAAGCGGTACCTTATGAATGGTCTGTTTGTGACTCTCCTTCTTCTTTTCCTCCTCTTTTCGAGCCTGTACACCTGCCATGCGCCGATCCTCGTCCTGAAAAGGATAGCTGGTGCAATCAGAGTCTCGCTCCATTCATGAGTTGTAAATTATTCAAGAAAGGGGGGGATGAGGGGGAAACATAAAAAACACTGTCTGGAAGACTGGTTTCCACACCAAATATTGACCACAATGGAGGCTGAGAGGAATCCTCACATCAGCCGGCTGGTATCACAGGATTATCTGTCTGATTTTCAATCTCAGATAAACTGAGCCCAGCTGTTGTGGAAAGGCAGAGCTCCCAGAATGCATTGCTGCCGACACAATCTAAAAGAGTGCCGACTAAGAGGAAGGGGATATTTATCTGTGGAAAGCGAGCAGTGACAACGCAGCAGTGCAATCAACAGAGGCTAAACTAAGTCATTCAGCAGAGGCAGGGCAATGATTTCAGGTACTGAGAAGACACTCAGGGAGGTTTAGAAAAAACTTAAATACAATAATGCAAATGTTTTGGGGTTTTTTTAAGATGCATGTCAGTAAAATTCTGTTAGGTTATTATTTTTTATGTTAGGGTTCATAGGAACTGAAGCAGTGGTGGGTAATCCTGGTCCTTGAGGGCCGCAGCCCTGCATGTTTTACTTTTTTCCCTGTTCCAACACAGCTGATTCAGTCATTGAATTACCTCTTCCAAGTTCTACAGAAGCCTGATAATCATCCATTCATTTAAATCTGGTGTGTTGGAGCAGAGAAACAAGTAAAACATGCAGGGCTGCAGCCCTCGATGCCCACCCCTGAACTTAAGCATTTCCAAATAAACTGTAAACTCAAACTGTTTTACTTGTTTTAACCTAAAACCAAAAAAAACGCCTCGAATGAATAAATTGAGGCAACATATTTGTAAAATATTTGTATGCACAGTGAAAAAAATATGTCCTATGTATAAACCATTTTTTGCCCTGGTATTACTGACAATTTTTTTTATCATCTGCAGTATTTAAACTAAATCAGAGTTTTTTTCTGCAATGTGAGTTTATGGGCACTTTGAAAGTCCTCTATTTGTTGTGGCAATATTAACCTTCACCGCTGATTATTATGGGCTAATTTTATCTGCAGTTTGTAAGGCCTTGACAGATTTGGGACACTGTGGTGCAGTGAAGGCACAAGGAATCAGCTGAGGTCAAAGATCATTTCTCATTGCTAAAAAACAAAAAAAAAAAAACACTGAAATGTGAAACAGAATAGGATCTGAACTGTATGTTGAAACTAACAGTATAGCTGATGGCTCTGTGTTAACGTCTGTTGCTTATTGCAATAAACAAACCAATCTAAAAAGTGCCTTTTTTCTTTGAATCACGCATTTCTRTTCTTCGTTAATGTATTAATTTCCACCTTAAAAATCAAGAAAAAACATGACCATAAAAGATGAAATTTGAGATAATTTCAGATAAGTTTTTTTGGGATGTAACAGAACWATGTTTTGAGGGCAAGGTGTGTGGGATTTTCGAATTCCTTTAAAGTACAAGCTCAGACTTGGGTGCTTCCTGCTTGACATCTTCTAAATACATGACAATAATTCACTGTAGCACTTTTCTGGCACGCAGTTTAAATATAATGACCTCATCTGTTGTAAAAAAATAAAGTAAAAAAAACGTTGTTTTGCTAATGTGAAAAAATACAGTACGTAGTGTAAATGCTTATCCTAATGTTGCASTAAAGCCACTGACCCATTTAAACAAGTCCTATTTAACAACAAAGCATTAAACGCTCATGAACATGTTTATATTTGGACGATCAAATCCAGATTTTTTTTTCAGTTGCATAAATTCTACTTAAAAGTCAATTAAATTTAATTTACCATAATAATTTATCTCTTGCAAACAAGCTAAAAGGCTTCAGTAAACTTGTAGGTTGAGTCTTACTGTGATGCGCTTCATGTCCAGCTGTTTCAGATGAAGCACACAGCGCAGGACGGCCTGCTTGTACCATGTCTCCAGGGCTACAGGATTCCCATCCAGGGTGAGCTCAGAAAGGGAGTGTGACTCTCCGAGGCAGCCTAGCTGATCAAAACTACAAACAAAGAAACAACATGAGTTCTCACATATTATGCCTAGCAACACTAAAAAATACATGGCTCACATTTTTGCTAAAACATACCATAATAAATGGATAATGCAGCAGGTACTCTGGCAGCCTGAAGCTATTCTAATAAAGTAGAGCCATACCAGGAGAGGAAGTGGAGATTATATCTTTACTCATTTCTGATCACAACCTTGGTGAGTCAGAAACCTGGAACTCACCATGCTCCCAGCCTCCTACCTTTTTGATACAAAACATGTTAGATATTTGTTTGTACTGAGTACTAAAGCAGGTTCAGGTGATTCATCTCATTTTCTTTAACTTGTTTTAGAAGCTGCAGCGTTTGCTAAAAAAAATGATAATTATTAAATATAGTTAACTTTTCTTTAAAGCTGGAAAATGGTTAAAAAATCTGCTCTTTGTTTTTGAAACTCTCTGTCTAGTAGCTCTTTTTTAATTCTCATGATGTAACAACAGTAAAAAAAATAATTTCTAGCAGGTTTTAAGAGGGTGATTGGCTCCTTCTTTTTAATTTTAACCTTCAAAAATGAAATAGCGCTTTTATTTCGACTCTTATGAAATTTCTTTTACAGRTCAGCAAAATAGAGTGAATTAGTCCTGCAGGTTTCCGCTGTCAGTCATACCAATATACTGTGCAGCAGCAAAAAAGAAGGAAGAAATAAAACTTTATAAAAATAATTTAAAAAAAACAATTTTATGTTAAAAAAATCATGTCATAAAAAGAAAATCATAAATGGCTCCGTTTTTGTTAAGGTCTGCTGCCATGAAAGACAAACAATCATGCAATTGCACCAGGCTGTCTCTRTGTGTGTTAGTTTGTCTGTCTGTTAGCAAAATATGAACCACTTAATAGGTTTTTTTGTTTGTTTTTTTGTTTTGGATTGGCTCCTTCAAATACTTTTTGTGTGCTTTGTGTCACCAAACCAACTTCTTTATACCTATGATTGTTTTGATTTTGCAATAATTATATTATGCTAAATGTAAAAAAAAAGTTATAAAAGGTAAATATGTCCAAYTAAAACTGAATATAAGAAATATGTGAGCTGTTTGTAAAGATTATGATGTGGCTGAAACCGTTTAGATTTTAGTTTGATCATTCAGTCACCACAACTTTATAAATAAAAGCACATTATATCATTTTTACACAGAAGTACATTATATAATTTGTTACAGTAATATTTCCTGAAACATATTTAAGATCTTTGCTCTGAGGTCTTTGAGGAGCMCACCAAACAGATGAGTGTGCTTCGTCTCTACCTAGCAACAGAGCACAACTGATGTCCTATAAGCATTACACCTCAACAAAAAGGCACACACACCAGAACTCTAGACTTCTACTTTATACACACAATCAGATACAAGGTTTTAATTTTAAAATATAGATATAATAAAAAAATTAAAACTAAGAATACTTACTTGTGCAAATTAGGACAGTTTGTTAAACAAATATTTAAGTCTGAAACTGTCACTGTAAAGTTTTGTTGTGCTTCCCTTTTATCTTGTCATAAGTCAGTGTGGTTGTGCGTCTGATGCTGAATAATACGGACACATGAACAACTGGGCTGGCATGAAATGTCAGGTCAGATCTAACACAGCCCAAGGTGACCATGGGCAAGGATGCCGTCCCTCACAGAATCCCACATCCTGCTTCACTCAGTGAAGTTCAGTCTGTTACAATCTGACTGTCAGGCTAAATGAAGAAGACAGAATTAAAAGCAAAACCCAAAATTAGATTTGAGAGAAAATATGTAATGCAGTTTGGTATCTGTATTCACTTTCCCAGCTGTTCCGTAAATCAATTTAACCCACAAATTTGTCATAATTACCTATTTTGTAGATTTGGATCCTTTGTTTCCTGAATAACTTTGAAGAATTGAACAAAGCTTTTCTTAGATAACCTGATAAAGAATCAAACAAAAGGAAACTGCTCCAGGCTACTGCTGTCGGTGTTACAAAAACTGCCCACTACAGTAAACCCGAGTGTGTGGCTGTGAGAGTTTGTGTGTGAGTGTTTCCAGAAGCTGCCAGGTCTCAGGGGAGGGGACGTGGCACTGACCATCCCTGTCCCTGCTCTGTGGGAAGGAGGGAGTGAAGCAGCACAAGCTCTCTTACCTGATGATGTTGTTGCAGCTGAGAAAGAGACGCTGCAAACAGGGCAGGCGGTCCACCTCAGTCTACAGGGAGAAAGAGAGAGAAGGAAGACAGAGTGATGGGTGGAGGTATAAAGGAGAAGATGCTCAGGAAGAGGGTGCTGCATCGTCACAGCTCTGTTTCCCTCTCCATTCTCTCAGTCACCTTGTAGCTCTGTGCACTAGCATTCAGCATCCCCATCCACTCTGCGCATGCACTCACACACATATACAGCATGCTGCCTTGTCTGCACATGGAAAGGAGGGGCAATGGTGAGAGAGAAAAGGAGAGAGAGCGAGCTTGATGAGAATAAGAGGAAGGGGGGAGGAGTGCGCTATTGCAGAGATCTCCTGCTGCAGGAGGCTAATGCTAACTGGAACATCTACACATCCAGTAGCACAAAGAGCTAACAGTATTTCACCCTGTGATGCAAAATCCCTAAATGGAGTAAATCCAATGGAAATTGCTTGAGGTGATGGAGTGGTTTTAACGAGAGGCATGCTCAGTTTTAAAATCAATGCAGGGGGGAAGAGCAGCAGCTGGCCAGCTGGCATGCTGACCTGAACAAACAGAGACGAAAGCAGAAACATGGCAGCTAATCAAACGCCAAACAGAAGTACTTCATGTTCAGTAGTGTCCAGACCAAGGTTGTGTATATGTGTGTGTGTGTGTGTGTGTGGATGGCCCGTGTTGCACAGGACCCTCCCAGCAGCAGTCTCAATGAGCTGTGTCAGCATCCACCCTGGTTACAGCCAACGCCCCGTTTCCTCCTTCAGCACTCCTGCCAGTCTCTGTTAACAAGCTACACTAGTTCCCCTGAAGAGAACAATAAAACACTGCAGCACACTCATACATGTTAGGTACAGGGTACCTAACTTTGTGTGCCAGATTCATTGGAGGAAATGTCCCATTTGTGAAATCTGTTTTCTATCACTCATGCACATCACATGAATAATAAATGGTTAACCAATGGGTCAATCAGCTTTGCTGGCAAGGGCGCCCTGTTTCTAGTTTATGAATCAGCAGGGCTAATGCTCAGACAGCGCAGAGATGTATTTTTGTTAGAAAAATACAGCTGAACACCATGCGGCATTTAGGAACCTGCACACTGCAGCTCAACTTTAACAGACTCAGAAAGAATTCATTTATGTGTTAACTTATTACAGCAAGATGATAAAAAAGAGTGAAGGAGGAGAAAAGGAGGTGGATAACTGGGGGATGTAAAACTTTAACATGACAAAAAATAATCAACAAGATTTACACATTTGCTCACAGTTCTGGATTTTTTATGTTTTTATTTTAGTTTGGGGTTTTTGACAAGTAAACAAGCGATCATGCAAAAAATCTACCTTTTACTAAAGACCCCTTTTGTCAGGTTTAAACTTAAATCTGCATTTGCTATTCTCACAAACATTGGCTGAAGGGAATCAGAATAGCAAGCATTATTTAAAGGAAAAAAATGCGAAATACGAATATTGTTCAGTAAGAACTATAATCGGTGTAAAGCCACAATAGCTGTCAAAATAGGGAAATTTTCAGTGTTTTTGTAAATGTGTGTCATCTATGAAAAAAAGTAATCACTATGGATCATTCATTTCCAAAAGTCAATCATCATTTGTAATAAACGAAAAAAAAAACAGCACAGTTATGTTTTGTTGCCAAGAATTACGAGTCGTTTGTTTACATTTGAACATTGATGAGTACACACAGTCTTGGTGTGCGACAAATACTCAGTCATTAAAAGAAATTGATGGAACAGAGCCTGAGGATTAACAATGAGATCAAATATGACAGATCAAAAGTAAAAAAGGTGAAATTATTTTCTAATCTTCAGAAAAGAAATGGTGACTAAAAGCTGCAAGGGTGAGAGTTGACAGACGTAGTCATTTTATTGAGGAAATTAAAGAGTGTTAAAGAGAAAGGTGGGGCYAAGATCATATGCAAATGAGCTGTGCTGAGATTTTATGAAATCTAACAGAAGAAMTGATGGTAACAGAATTTAGTTGTAAACAAAAGTAAGGAATATWTGCTGTTTTATAACACAATTTTTATGAAAACTCTGAYGAGTTTAAATTACATTAATCTCAACCACTCAGTGATGTAGAATTTGTATTAGAAGCATGTAAATTAAAATCAAAACCACAGAAAAAATCATGTATTTTGACAGCAATTATGGCTTTAACAGGTTGGTTTTCCTGAAATTGTAAATTCCATTTCCATTTATTGTTTTCCTGTTAATGGCAGGATTTTAAAAATTGTTTTGCAAAAACAATTAGTCTTTCTTTTGAAAAAGATCCATGTCATGTTAGTCAGTCCTGATGTAAAGCACATCTCTCCAGTCTGTGTGTGTGTCGGCAGCTGTATGGATGCTGGTGGAGCAGCAGCTGCAGCATACTGTCTTGGACTAAAAATAGAAGGCCTGTCTCAGACAGAATGATGTCATCACTGAGTTGGTGAGCCACATAACAATCACCCACCAATGTGGTGGCTTTTTTCAGACAACCTGATCGATCAGAACCAATCAGCTGATGGGATTCACTGGGAGGGCTCATGGCAGCTGTGCTGCTTTGTGAGTGTGTGTTTATGTGTTTATGCCTGCCTGTGGGTGTCGATTCTTCAATCCGTCCGTGCCTCCACCTTGTTACTCCGGCTCCACTCTCGTGTCACTGACAGCTTGCGTGTCTTTGTTTTTCACACTAAACACCGGCAGAGGCATCACTCCACAGAGCAGCCTCYCATCCAGGCTGTCTGATACACGCAACAACACACGTTACAAAGAGACACGAGAGCTGCATAAATCCAACACGTGGAAGCTAAWGGCTTTTCTCAGAGTGCAAGCTGTTGAGTTGTGTGACAGCTCTTTCAATGGAACAAGCATGCAATGTGATCTTAGCTGGCACACATCTGGCCTCTGCTATTGTGCTCTACAGCTCCAGATGTTCCACCTTGCACTGAACCCGGCAGAGGTCACGTGTCAATCAACATGTTCTGCGGTTGTTTTTGGAACGGGATTTTATTTTTGGTTTCACTTGCGATTTCTCTTTAGAACAATTACCTGGTAAAAATCAGAACATGTTCACTATTGCTTTATCTGTTAGTTAATCAAATGTTTTAGATGTGACGTCAATATTTGCCTCTACTTAAGGGAAAACTGTTTATTCATACAGAAATTATTGGCAACAACTTGTGTCACTATAGTTACAGAAACAACATGTGCTTTAAACTAGCTAATTAACAGTAAAACTACTAAACTGCATTACAGGCTATTTTAAAGATGCTTAATTCAAGGAATTTAGGAAAAGACAAGTTACTAAGCTAAAATTTAAAAACAAAGACTGGTATTTTAGTTTTTGTTTGTTTCATTGTTTCATTGTTACTCAAGTTGACAACTCATTTTTTGTTGCTTCTGCCAAAACAAGCATTTCTTCCTGAATAACTAAGGTGATGAGGTTCATCGTGAATAACACGTTTCAGACAAGAATAGGATTTACACTGYGGCACTCATTAAACAGAGAAATGTGATGGACTTGTAAACACAGGAAACAACCACACGAGTCGTACATGAGTCATAATCAAGTCTAAAACCAAAAACTTGGCTTGTTTTCATGTCCAGACTTTAAATTGTTATCTGCCTTCCCTTTGATAAAAAGGAAAAGCCTAACCACCTGGAGGATGGTTATTTACTTTGTGTCAGAGGATTTAGTCAGAGAAAAAATGAAACTGCCAGTGGGTTGCATTTTTTTTCTCTCCTCTGTATCAAAGTAAACATTACATCCAATAATTAGGTGCTCGGAACTTGTAGGCAGCCAGCAGAGCTACAGTGAAGGGAAAYAGCTTTCAGGTAACATACAACACTGGATTCAGTTTTTGTTTCATATTTTACCTCCTAAAATAAGCTGGGAAGGGCTTAGGGGATTTGCATGCAAATGAAGGAGCCTGTTTTGGCTTGCAGTGCTCTGTTTATCAGATTAAAACTATGGAAACCAGGGGAAGTGACTTTCCATGTTGAGAACCTTCCGTTTCTCTTTCACTGCACTGAAAAATCAATGGGAGGCAATGATACGTTATACCACACACTTTAATTCTACTGATGAAATTTCTGTAGTTGTTTTTTTGTTTGTTTGTTTGTTTTTATTGTTCAAGTAAAAAATGTAAAATGTGATCCCATAACAGAAAAAACAAGCCGTCTGAAATTCAGTCCAAATGGASTGATGTGATAATAAATGATGAGTGGAGCTGATCCTGTGGGGAACATTTTCTAACAAACTGTTTGCTTTTTTCTCTCTCTCTCTTTTTTCCAAATGCCGAAAACAATACTGTAACTTATTTTCCTGTAAGATTTGAAAATAAAATATTTGTAGCTCTTATACATTCTGGAATCAGCTTGTTACAGCCCTGAGCCAATGCATCTGTGCGATGCATTACTCACAAATACAGCAAAGCTGAGGCAAACAAGAAGAGCAACCAGAATTTGTCAGGTCTTCGGGTGACTTATGTGTCATTTAATATTTCTTCAGCTGCTTTTTAAATCTTTCCAGGCAAGTTCTCAGTCATGTAATCACTGAATAATTTCATTGTTGTAATGTCATTTGTCTGAATATGTGTCTGGATTTTTTTTWAATATTGTATGTTGTGATCTTGTGTTGTGTTGTTTTGTCTGCCCGCCTCAGGACTACAGATGTACATTAACATCTATGCTATTATCTGGCTTATTTACAGTCTATAGAGAAGTATAAGATTGTTCATTAATGTGCACTGCCCTGATTGATTGATTAAATAAATAAATAAATAAATAAATAAATAAATAAATAAATAAATAAATAAATAAATAAATAAATAAATGAGTGTGTTGACTTTGAGCAGGTGGTGCTTTTACAGGAATGGGGACAATAGCATGCATGCAGTGAATGCAACCTTAACGCGTCATTAAGAAAGAAGTAACTCACCACTGCAGTGATGCAGTTGTGCTGAAGGTTGAGCTCACTCAGAGATTCCAGGCCCTGCACGTTCTCCACTCTGGAGATGTGGTTTTTTGACAGGTTCAACACTTGCAGCTCACTCAGGTGAGAGATGCTTTCTATCCTGCAGATCTATATGAAAACACAGTGAGAGAAAGAGCAATCAAAATGACAATAAAATGTAAAACTGTAGTGTAGATAACTGAATCTACAGAGGCGGGTTTGGCTAAAGCGAGTTTAATACACAAGTATTGCAAACAGTCAAAACTCTTCTCAAGAAATACAACTATTGTTCCATAAATTTCTCAAAAAAGCTCTTTGAAATCATTTAGTTTACAAATTTCCGTCCCTTTTCTGTAACTTCAGAATCACATATGACAGCAGCTTAAACATCTCTATTTTCAGCCAATTACTCTTCATCAAGCCCTGACTCCTGCGTGAACCTTTGAATCMTAAAACCAAACATGCAGCTAAGAACAACTCAGCTGTGAAATGTTACACTGTTTTCTCAAACTTTCTGTCTGGATTCTCTGTGACATTTTCAACATTTCAGGAAAATCCCCAGAAGCTGTTTACAGTGAGTTGGTGTGTTTGCACCCTGTGCTGCACAGAGAGGAACAGGTTAGAGGGGTGCTGAAAAATAATCTTGCAAAGAAAGATTACATTCACAAACGTAATTTGAAATTGTTTACATTTATAAGTTTGAAAAATTGGAAAGAAGAAAGAAGTTCATTAATCAGATCTTGCTTTTTGTTTCAACTTCAAAACAGAATCGATTTTCCTCAGCGCACTTGCACAAAATCAGAACATTTGTAAGTGCTGTCGTTTTGTGCTGCCAAAGTGTGATTGTGGAGGACAGGTTTATGTCAAAAGGAAGTTAAAAAAAACGACAACCCTGACTGTAGATGTAGCTTCCTGAAAGTGATGGTCTGGCCCACACAGAGCTCTGATCTCAGCACCATCGAGTGTGTTTGGGATTATATAAGGAGGCAGAAGGAGCTGAGCCAGTCTACATCTGAGGTTAGTTCTCTGAGATGTTTGAAGCAACCTGAGTTCTTTGAAAATCTGTGCTTACCATGAGGATTTGATGCTGTTTTGGAGACATATTGATTTGTACTGATTTGATCTCGAATTCTCCTCTGTTTCCTTCGCTTTGAATTGTAAACGCATAAAAACAAAACAATAAAAATAGAATTTAGATTTGGGAAAGCATTCGTACTTCCATCCATCCATCCATTTTCTGTGCACGCTTCTTCCTTTTCAGGGTCGCGTGGGTCACTGGTGCCCATATCCAGCAGTCACAGTGCGAGGGGCGACCCGCCCCTCGCGCTGTGACTGCTGGACATGGGCACCAGTGAATGCACCAGCATTCTTACTTTGCAGTGATTTTTTCCCATATGTGACTAAAGCTTTTACACAGTACTGTCTAACTTTACTCAACAAAGAGAGGTAACACCCAGAGACTTGGTTACTGAGGTTAAYTGTGGGTCAGATGCATGCTCCCAGAGAGAGTACAGCCTTACAAAAGTTCCAGCAATCTGGAARTAAAGCTCCAGCCTGTTGCTATAACAAACGGGGCAAAAAAAGAATGGTTAAAAAACGCTAGACAGGGAGGTACAGGTCAAGCAGTTTGTATTTAATAGGTCATGATTGGATCTTAATTTGCACATTTTAYGATTTGCATTTATCAGGTCAAACACATTTCTAAAGTTTTGATAAGTGTTGCAACCTGAGCGCACAGAACAGGAGCTTTGATGTCAGAAACTGAAAGAACACCTGGCCTGGTCTCCTTCACAGTCTGTGTCTGCAAACCAGTAGCTCAGACTGGATGTCATGTGGTTTTGTTACCTAACGGTCCTCTCAATCATTTGTAAGAGCCACTCATTCAGCCGCACCAGCGTGAAAACGGTTAAAGTGCATTACAGAAACTAGTCGGGGCACAGACTTTCRCAGAGCCCGAGGTGACACAAAGCATCTTCCATCAGGAAAAATAACAGAGCTGTAGCGCTCACAGAACAGTAATTGAGAAGCCTGCTCATGTAAAGAGCAGCCAACAGCAGAAAGGGAGGAAGCCTTACCAGAGCTCTGGAGGAGCTCTCTGAGGAGGAGCGTGGGCGGCAAACTGGCAATTCGCTAATTTGACCAAAGAAAGCCTTTCTGTTCTATCTTCATATTCCAGGAGCRTTTGGGTTCTCGTTTGACATCATGTGATTTCTCAGGCTTTTAGTGCCGTTGAGTCAGGCTCTGTTGTGGAGGTCCTATCAACCGGCCCTTAGTAACAGATTTAGACCGGGATTATTAGCAGGAACACTATAATCTGTCTCAGTTTGAAGCTGTTTCCAACGTTGGGGGAACAAAAAAAAAAAAAAGAACGTTATGCCTGTTGAATAAATTATTTTTGGGTCACTGAGGAAATGATTGTGGGAGTAGACCCACGACATGAGCCTGTGAAATTTTAATGGTTTTCACGTCTTTGCTTTCTGAAAATGAGGTGAATAAAGTTTTAAACGCCATAAACAATACAAAAAACTATTAAAAACCTTAATAAAAACTACAATTAAAATGAGAAAAGAAAACAATAATGATTTTTTTTAAATAAATAGCACTTAGCAAATTCGGATGCAGACAACTTTATCAGCAAAAGGCACACATGCCCACAAAATAAAAAGTATTAGGAATAAATATGCACAACAGAGATTAGCATCACATTTAAGCCACTGATGGCAGAAGGAATAAAGGAGAGAGTCTGATTGTCTTCCTGCATGAGGCTATAGCAGCTGCCTGAAGACATTCACATACAGTCAGTGGACAGGAAGTGGTCCTGTTGGGACACTTCCTTTGCGATGCACCTGTTTCTCCCACAGGAAATGGAGATCCCTCTGCTGACCCCTCTTATTTTGGAGCGTATCTTAACAACGCTCTGAAGGCTGTTCTTTTCTCTTACAGACGGTGAACACTTTGGCTTTATCCAGTCCTGAATATGTACAACAGTGGACAACAGGAGCATGTTCAGTCTCCTGCTGTCAAATCTGTTCCAAACCAACATTTACAGAGCTGCATCTGGCAGGACACTGAGGAGGAGGGAACGAGAGGAAAACAACACCTGCTGAACTTTGCAGCTTCGCCACATTGGATATGTAGAAAAACTATAAAAAAAAATTCTAAATAACACACAGCTAAATGCACACATGTTGCAGAAACAAAAACAAACAAAGATCAGTACCTGATTGTCATGCAGATCCAAGATGTTCAGCTTGGTCAGACTTTCCAGGCAGCAGATTTTGTGGATCCTGAAAATGATCAGCAAGAGGCCACATAAGATTGAAATACATTTATAAATAAAACAATTATCAATGTGAACAGTTCCAGGAATAAATGGGCCTCATGCAAGAACCGTTCGTACGCACAGAATTGTTTTTAAATTGTGTGTACGAGTGATTTAGGACAATTTGTGGCATTCACCAATGTTTTCATATTCTAAGACTTTTTTCAGATACGAACAAAATTCACGAGTGGTCCAGACCTGTC